ACAAGTGCGACCGGCTGGACGCGAACCTGGGCGCCGTCCCCCAGGTTCGGAAATTCACACGCAGGGCTCGTGCTCTTCCCCAGCGGCCAAGCCGCCCTGGGCGGAGCCCAGGAGCCGCGTCCAGGCCCGGCGACGGCCCTCGGCCTGCCTCGCGGGTCGCCCAGCCCACCCAAGCCAGCAGCATGGGGAGGTCTCCACCCTCAGGCCGGCCGGGTAACCCCGGCTGGGCTGTCGGTCCCGCTGACCCCACGCAGGGTGTCCGTCCATCCGGGTCCTAAGGGGGCCCTGGGCCGTGGGTGGCCCAGTTGGAGTGAGGCTTGGGGGTCACAGGGTGGGGTGTGGGCGCTAAGTGGGAGGCCCTGCGGCGTGTGCTGTTTGAGGCCACCCCCGGGACTCAGACCTGCAGCCCCAAGGGAAGGGGCTGAGCCCCTCCTCGGGGTCCCTGGCGGGAGTGACCGGGCAGGCCCCGTTCTGTCCATGCCTGTCCTGCGCGAGGCAGCTGAGACGGGGCTCCCCTCCCCTGCCAGCCCCCCTTTTCTCCCTTAAAATCAGAGGGGCCAGCACAGCGCGCTCCAGCCGTGGCCGCTGGGGGCCCTGCAGCTGTGTCCGGCCTCCCTCAGCCCCTTGCAGGAGCGTCCTAGGTCTCGGCAGGGGCCCCCCTTCCGGAAAGCTTGAGGCAGGGCTGGCGGCCCCCCTGCCCCACGGCAGGCGTGGACCCAGCGGGGGCGGGGAGAGGCTCAGGGCACCCCGTGAGGCCGAGGTGCAGGCGCGGGTGCCGGCCTGGTGAGGCTGCATCAGCGCCGAGCTACCCCGGCTGGGAGAGCCCCAAAACTCAGGGTCCTCTCCCCAGCTGCTCGCAGAGGCGGCTGTTAGGGCTCCTCGCACCCCGAAAGTGGAGCCCCAGAACACACCCCCCTCGCTGCCCGCGGGTGCGCCCAGGCGCCTGTGCAGGCTGCTCGCACCAACGTGGTCAGGGGACACGGGGAGCCGGGGAGCCACGGGTGCTCCCACGCTCACCACAGACGCGCGCTCGGCGGCTGGGGGCGCTGCGCTGCTCGCCCTTTGGCGCTCACGGTAGCGGGGAGGCCTGCCTGCCGGGCACCTGCTCCTGGCCACCGGCCCAGATGCCCTCTCGGAGACTCCCCGGCCCCAGGGCCCGGGCCCTGCCCCCCAGGGGACCTACGCTGTGCAGACAGTGCCTGAGGCCCATCCCCCACTCTGCTGTGCAGACATTGTCCGGGCCCCTACAAAGGCGAAGGGGCTGGGCTGGGGGGAGGGGCCGCCCTCCCAGGTCTCGGGCTGAGGGCGAGGCCAGGGCTGGGCCCCGTCCCGCTCCACAGGGACAGGAGAGTGGCCAGCGCACCCTCCCCAGCCCGGAGCCGCCCCATGGGCTCCGCCGGGCCGGCCAGCCACCTTGGCGAGAGGCTGCAGGCTTCCTGCCTCCATGCTGGCCTCCCTGGTCTGCAGTGGAAACCAGGCCAAATGGGGAGGGGCAGCGCCCGGCGCTGGGGCCAGCGGGGTCTTCGTGGGCAAAGGCGGGGGCGCCTGTCATGGAGGAGGCTCCTGGGCCCCTCACCTTCGGGAGCCGGCGCCACACAAGTTGCTCCCGGGACAGGGACTCAGCTCGCAGGAGTGAGGTGGGCCTGGGCCGCGGGCTCCTAATTGCTTCCTCCTGCTGGGCCCGCCCCGTCCAGCGAGGTGTCAGGCCACGGCTCCAGGCTGGGCCTCCACCCCAGCCCTGCGTCCCCACGTCCCCGCACCATTTGTCGGGGCGTCTCTGGGGAGGGCGCGGTGCTCCGCCGGGACCCTTGGGCGCCGTGCGCCCTGGGGACCGGGGCACTGGTGTCCTGAAGCTGAGCCCGGCTGGTGTCTCCCGTGTGCCTGACCCAAGTATCTGAGACTCTGCTCACAGAAGGTGCTGGAAGCCACCCGCGGCCGTGCTGGGGTGCGTGGGGGTTCTCTTCTGCCCCTGCCCGGTGCCCCGAGCCGCATGCATCACACCCTGCCCGCGGCCCTCACCCCAGAGGCAGCCGGGGGCCCGAGCCGTTTGCGCGGCCCACGGTGGGGAGGGCCTCGGGCTCTGGGAGGGGCATGGAAGGGCCCCCACAGCCGCCCCCAGCTCGCCCACCACGTCCTTCAGGCCCGCCCCCCGACCTGGCACCGGCTCCAGTGTCGGCCTGTGCACCGCCGGCACCCGGGCAGCTGGAAACAGACTGTCGGGGGCGCAGCCCTGGGCAGATGCAGGGGCCCCGCCCTCGCTCAGCTCCGGCTCGTTGGCCGGTCCCCAGGAAGCGGGCGCTGAGGTGTGGCCCTCGGCACCTGGGAACTCCAGCTTCTGGCCGCCCAAGTCGCAGCCTCTGAGGAAGGGCAGGTGCGCCGGGGGCCTGCTGTGGCCCCTCCTCAAACCCCCTCCCCGCCCAGCGAGGCCCAGCGCCCAGGGAGGCGGTTGGAGCAGCCGGCCGAGGCGCAGGGGCTGCACGGGGGCACTGCCGGGTCAGGCCTGCCTGGCTGCGGGTCCCCGGGCCCCACCAGACCCCGAAACCAGCCCCTGGGGGCGGCCCTGCTTCCGGGAAGCAGCCTCTCGCCTTGGGCACCTGCCCCTGCCCAGGGCTGTCCCTGGGCCGCCCTGAGTCAGGCTGCACGGCGGGCGGCGGCTCCCAGCAGCCTTGGGAGCCGTGGGAACCAGGCGGACCCCTGGGACCGGGGAGCCAGGAGCCTTCCCAGCCCCTCCTGCCCGCCCCGACTCACCTGGCCCCGCCCTCCCAGCCAGGATCTGGGGGCGGCGGCCAGCCCTGCCCTCAGGCTCCCTCGCTGGATGGGGGTGTGCAGAGGTGGGGGAGGAGCCGAGGCTCCTGTCCCGGCCCCGGGCCCGCGCCAGTCTCGGCCAGGCCCGCGGGCATCCCAAGGTCAGGGTCTGTGCGGCCACCCAGGGCGTGGGCAGGGCCCAGGAGTCACCCGCACGTGCCCTTGGCTGGGGGGCCGTGTGAGGACAAGGACACTCTGTGGGCGCCTGGCCAGCCGAGGGCCCTGCGACTGAGCAAGTCACTCCGCACCTTGGAAGGCTTTTTTCTTCAAAAGGGGAGGCCAGAGGTGCTGCCGCCCCCTCGGTGTCAGAGAGGGGCCCGTGGGACGTGCCGAACCGTGGGCGGGCGGGCGCTCGGCGGGAGCCCCACTGGGCAGGGCCACGGCCTCCCCCGAGGGTGGCCGCTGGCAGAGGCGGCCGGACCAGCGTGGATGGGAGGCGGATGGGGAAGCCCTGGGCGCCAGGCCCTCCTGCGGACGGGAAACGGGGCAGAGGGCGGGCGGGGAACCGGCTTTTCCAGCCCCAGGGCGGGGGGTGGGGGAGGGCAGGCTGCTCAGGGCCCATCCGGGTGACAGTGGCAGCGGCCATGGGAAAACCGGCGCTGGTGGTTCCCGAGGGTGTGGCCAGGCCCCTGTGGATGGCATCGGGCGTGCGTCTCTGTGCCGTGACTCAGCGTGAGCTGGCGGCCACGCCCCGGTGTGCTCACCGGCCCTGGTCCTGGGAAGGGAGAGGACCCTCACCCTCACAGAGGGCCCCGCCCCACCCTCCGCGGCGGCTCGGTCCCGCCCACCCCACGCCTGCGGCACTGCCCCCCTCAGGTGGCTGGACAGGGCCGAAGGGGCCCCCAGGGCGGGCGGCCCAGGGCTGCAGCGCGGCTGAACCCGGGGCGACCGCGGGCCAGCCCTGCAGCCAGGACCTTGTCTCACCCCCGGCCCCGGGGGCCCCCTCACCTGTGTGCAGCCAGCGGAGCAGGACCCGCGGCAGCCTCCCTGTGCCAGAGGCTGGCAGAGCGGGTGGCGGGGGCCCCTGAGGGGTTAGGGAGGGTTCTGCCTTGGGACCGGCTGTCCCGGCCACCGCCCCACCCACCCTCACCCCCGGGCCCAGCCCCCGGCCAGCTGCAGCGCTGGAGCCGGAGCGGTGAGGCCGCAGGTGGAGCTCAAGGTGTCCAGGTGTTGAAAGGCCCATGGGAAAAGGGCGTGGGGGGGGCCGGGCAGGTGCGGTGCCAGCTGGGCTCACCCCGCAGCTCCCGGGGCCTGAGGCCACCGCCTCCCCCAGAGACATGTCATCCAGGCCACTTGCTCGGCGCATGGCGGGGGCGGGGGGCACAGGGAGTGATCACAGAGGGGGCCTCATCCCTCCTGTGGCTCAGGAACCACCGTCCCCGACCCCGCACGGACGCTGCCCTGAGCTCCCCCTCCTCTCCCAAGCTGATCCGATGTCCCACGTCCGGAAAGGCCGTGACCAGCGACCAGCACCTGCAGCTCCGGGGAACCTGCGGATACCTGCCTGGAAGCTGGGTCTCGGCGGACCCAGGCCGCCCCGTTCCCTGGGCCCCCGCACCCTGTCACCCCAGGGAACCCCGGCCAGGCAGCGGCGTCATGGAGCGGGCCCGGACGGCTGCCTTGGGAGGGCAGGGTGGACCCCGGCCTTGTCAACGCCCCAGAGTCCAGAAGAGCAGCGGGGCCGAGCCGAGCACCCCGGGGCCGCTGCACATCCTGAACGAGGTGCCCTGCACGGCAGCCACGTGGCCGCGCCCCGACGGCTTACGGACCTGGCGCCCAGCCCCGGAGGCCGCATGGGCAGGCGCGGACCCCGGAGGGGCCTGGCTCTCCCCACCGGGCTGCAGGCCGCGCCCCCCGCCCCCGTGGCCCTGGGGTGCTGAGAGAGGCTGGGGGCGGCCAGGCCTGGCTGCGCCCTTGCTGGCCCTGAGCCGCAGAGGACGGCCAGGCCGCCAGCCATTCCCTGGTTCCCTGCAGGGTCTCAGGCTGGAGGAGGCCGCTCAGGGCCCACCAGGTGCCGCTGCCGCTGGGGAGGGCTCCCCGAAGTGGCACCCCTGAAGCCCTGTGGGGAGGAGGAGGGAGATGCTGTCGGACTCAGTGACACACCCTGGCCAGACCCAGAGCCGCCAGGCGCTCGGGGCTGAGGCGGGGGCGGGGGGCGGGGGGCCTGCCTCCTCTCCGCGCCCCTCTGCCCCCAGGCCCGCAGCTGCGACCAGGCCCTGAAGGTGTCTGAGGACACGAGGCAGCAGCTCCTGTGGCTCAGCGGCCGCCAGGAAGGCCCCCGCCACCGAGGTGAGGGCACCAGCCAGGGGCCGGGCCCGGGTGTGGGGCGCGTGGACAGCAGCTCCGGGCTCCCCTGCGGGGGCTGCAGACCGGGGCACGGGTCGGGGCGGAGCCCGCGCTCCCCTTGGTGTGTTGCGCGGCCGCGCGTGCAGGGGACGGCGAGGCCGTGGCGGCGGGGCCCCCCCCAGGCCGTGGACCCCCGTCTCTCTCCAGGGGGTCCTGCTCGGCTGCCGCCCAGCCTGCCCCGAGCGTGGGGCACACGTGAACACTGGCGCATGCGCCCACGTGCACACGCACCGCCCCCTCGCACGCTCACGCGCCAGTGACGCTCGGCAGTCTGAACATGGCCGCACCTGGGCAGACAGGACGGAGGGCCAGCCCCGGGTGTCCGTCCACCACCGGGAAAGGCCCTACCCGGGACGCAGTCTCGGTTTCCCTTCCTGTGAAACTAGGAGGAGGAGGGTTCAGGACCCCCAAAGACCGTGCGGTTGCCGGCCGCGGCAGTGGGCGTGCCCTGCCGTGGGACCCGCTGCTTCCCCCGCTCCCCCCCCGCCCGCCGCCCGAAGGAGCCCAGCGGGGGGCGATGCAGGGCGCCTCCCCAGGGGAGGCCGGGGCAGGGTGCATAAAGGGCACCTGCGGGTCCTCTAGCGGGGTCACCATGCGGCCAAGGTATCTCTCCACGGAGCTGAGGCTCCCTCCCAGCGGCCCCCGTCCTTCCCGCCTGCCCCGAGGTCCGGGCCAGTGCAGGGGTCCCCCTGCGCAGCGGGCGAGCCGCCTCGACAGCCCGCGTGCAGCCCCGGACAGCTCCCCACTCGGGCAGTGCCGTCCACAGGGGCCGCGAGGCTGCCTGGGCCCCGTGCCCTCCCCAGAGGCTCTCGGTGGTCCTGGGCGGGCGCGGCTCCCCTGCCGGCGGTCTGGTGTCTCGGAAGCCGCCCGGAAAGGGCTGGGGACAGACGGGCTGGGTGGCAGCGGGGAGGCCAGATGGGGGTCGCGGCCTCACTGGGCTCCGAGGAGGCGGTGGGCTGAGGCGCGGCGCCCTCCACGCAGAGCCCGGCTGCAGCCAGTCTGCAGGGAGGTTTGCCGAGCAAATTACAGGGCCAGCAGGACGGGTGGGGGGGGGCCCACTTCTCCCACCTGCTGGACGGGGCTCCTCGGCCGCCCTGCCTCCAGCCCTGCCCTTGCCCCCCCAGCCCCGGGCGGCCTGGCCGGCTCCTTGTGCTCTCGGTGGAGGGCGGGGGGCGCGGAACAGGCCTCCCAGGGTCTCTCCCCGCACTCTGAGCCCCAGCCGGTCCCCTGGGTCCCCGCCCGCCCTGGTACTGGCTGGCTGTGCAACAGGCTCCTTGGCAATCGGCTTATCTGCTCATCGCCGCCGCCGGGCCGCCCCGCCCCCGCCCTCCTGCCCGTTCTCAGGCCCCCAAGTGCCCTAATCGGCCGATCTTGCGTCCAGAACATGTTTCCCAAGGACCTTTGAGTCCCAAGAACGTTCCAAGGTGTGAGTTCCCGTGGGAGGGGACTGAGCTGGCACGGAAGCCCCTCCGGCCCCTGCCCTTTGCCCTCTCCGCGGGGGGTGGGGGAGAGGCTGGGGCTGCAGGGCCCTGTCCTCAGGAGACCCTAACGCCCTTGATTGACAGGTGACGAGGCCCAGATCGAGGACACGCAGGAGCCAGGTGAGCACGGGGCGGCCCACGGGGGACACACAGGGCCCCGGCACCCAGCATCCTGAGACGGGGTTTGGGTCCTGGCCCAGCAGTGGAGGAGGAGGCGGTCCCCTGGGGGCGGGGCAGTGGGCAGTGGCAGAGAGGGGGTCGCTGGAGGGCACGAGGCTCAGGGCCCGGGCGGGGAGACCGGGAAGGGGCGTGCGGGAGGCCTGGGGCCTCAGCGTGCCGCTCGCCCCGGTCCGGGCTCAGCCCCCGAGGAGACGCCCGGGGGCCGCACCTATGACGCCCCCGTGCCTCTGGCTGGAGGGGGCCGACCTGCGGGCCTGCGTCCCCGCCACGCTGGGCAGCGGCACATGGCTGCAGCTGGCGGGGGTCCCGGAGGGCGTGCTGTGGCAGCCGGGGCTGCGGCAAGGTCTTCTGGGAGGGCTCCCACCGGGGCCGGGTGGCCTCGCAGTTCCGCGAGGTCCTGGACAGCGTCCCCTGCTCCCGCGAGCCCGGCCCGGCTCCCAGCCCTGCCAGCAGCCCCTCCTGAAGACGTCCCAGGCCCCGCTGGCCCCATTGTGACAATAAAAGTGGAAATGGCCCCACCTGCGTGGGCTGTGGCTGCGGACCGGTCCGTGCGCATCGCGCGTCACACACACCTGAGACGCACAGCCGTGGGGCGAAGGCGCGGGCTCCCGCCCGGTCGGGCCACTGGGCCCCGGCCTGAGCTGAGAGCGGCCCCGCACTCAGGGGCGCGGCCGACGGGAGGCGGGAAGGGCGCCTCAGGGGAGGAGAGGTCTGGGTCGAGGCCTGGGGCCTCCACCTCCAAGGAGCTGGATGCGTGGATCCTGGGGGCAGGGCCCCTCAGGCCAGGTCGGGGGTCTTGCTGGGGAAGGGGCCCCAGCCCAGCCCAGCCCGGTGCATGAAGCAAGGCAGCCGCCCTCCACCTGCGGCCCTGACCCCTCGCCCGCTCCCTCACCCCTGCCCAGCGCTGGCGGCCTCCTCTTGGGAGACAAACCGGCAACCACGTTACAGGACAGCGGCCCACACCCAGGCGTGGCCACACCTCTGTCCTCGCACCTGCTGTGCCCGCTCTGGTCCACGGCTGGCCTCACGGAAGGCCCGCGGCGCCAGTGCCAGCCGTGGTCGGCGGGGCCGCGGGGAAGGGGCCCATGGGCAGAGGCCTGGTCCCAGCCCTCGTTCTGCCCCGCCCACCTCCTCCGGCTCACCCCCCAGGAATGCACCCCTCCCACACTCACATCCCTTCCTGCCCTCGCAGCCTGGAGCGGAAATGGCTCCGATTTGGCGGAGGAGCCCAGGCGGAAGCTCACGGTGTCGGGGGCCGGGGCCTGTGCAGGGTGCACCTGCAGGTCCAGGCCGGGCCCGCCCCTGCCCCGGGCTCCTGGCCACACCCGGGCTGGCCATTGCCCCCTCCGCCGTCCAGAGATGCAGCCCTAGTGGGGGGCCCGGCTGGGGAGTGTGCACCAGGCTGGGGCTTGTGTAGGGGGCGCACGGGCGTCTACACGCCCACGTCCCTTCCTTTCCCTTGGAGCACCTGCCCGCCGACGGGCGCTGGCCCACGTTGCCCCGGGGCCGCGCGGAGGGCCAGGCTCCACTCTGCCGCTTGGAGAGGAAGCGGGCGACCCTGGCCGTCCTGCTGCCCGTAGTGCCTGCTGCGCTGCGGGTCAGGTGGGGCTGCCAGGGTGAGCGGGCGAGCTGGGCCCCCCGGGACCCTCGGCAGCTGGGGTGCAGCCTGCAGGAGCAGCAGCCCTGGGCTGTGTCCTGTCCCGGGGAGGCAGCGCGACCGCACTGCTTCCCAGGGAGGGTTAAAGGAAGCGACGGGGGTGCCCGGCCCACTTCCCAGCACAGCTGCTTCCTGGAGGCTCCGCTGACCTGAGGCCCTGGCATTGCAGCCAGGCCTGGACAGACAGACACCAGAGCTGGGAGAGGCCAGGGACCACAGGCTCAGGGACAGGAGGCCATGCGTCCTTCCCATCCCCCCAGCAGGCCCAGCCCCAACCTCCCACGTTCCCCTTCCACTCTTTGACAACTGTCGGAAGAGGAGAGAGCGCTGACCGGGGACACTCCCGCGCGGCCCAGCCTGCCTCGCGCCTCCCCAGCCCTCTGCTGCCCGGACCGGCCGTGGTCCTCCAGGACACGCTGAGGCGGTCGCGCTTGCGGCCAGCCTGCCCTGGCTCTGGGGCCCCCCCACCCAGGTCCTGAGCCTGCCCCAGCCCGGGGACCCCCTTGGCCCCTTCCCGCGCCGGGGTCAGACTCCAGGCCGACAGGGCAGGCTGCGGCCCGGGTGCCAAGCGGAGCCTGCGCGGCCAGCCGGGCGGGCAGGAGCCGCCGCAATTGTCTGCTGCAGTTCCTGCCCCGGGCGTCCTTCCTGCGCACTGGCCGCGCTGGCCGGCTGAGTGTTTGTTATTTGATCTGTATCCTTGCTCGGCCCTTCTACCAGGTGTCTGGGCTGCTGGGAAGAAATCCTCTCCTCTTTCCCACGCTCCCCGACACATTTTAATGAATTAGCTGGAAGCCCCGCCCCCACTGCCCGCCGGCCCGCTCGCCTCCCTCCCCTGCCCAGCGCCTTTAAGGTGGCCGCAGGCCTCGGCTCCGCGTTAGCCAGCCCCCCCCCCGGGGGCGCGGTCCTACCCCCTGCACCCCCTCCTACCCAGACCTTCCCAGCCCAGGTCCACGTTGCTCCCTAACCTGCCCCCCGCCCGCTGCCCTGAGCCTCCAAAGAAAGTGGGTCCCCAGAGGGAGGAGGTTCCTCTAGTGGACGCCGGCCTCCGCCTTGGGCCCCCCGGAGGACAGGGTCCAGCCCAGTGGTCAGAGTCGGGTCTGCGCGCCCAGGCCCGCGGTGCAGGCTTCTCCTCCAGAGCCCGTGAACCCCACACACTCACTCACACACACACACCCCCCCCCCGCCATGAGCACGCGCGCTGCTCACACCGGGAGGCTTCTCAGAGCCCCGCCCTCTGCCACCGAGGTCTCTGGAACAAATGTCCTCCTTTTGGGTGTGTCCTTGAGCAGACACCCCGGACGTGTGCGTCGGGAGCCGGGGCTGCACACGCTCTGCGCTGACACACGGGGTGTGGACTAGCGGGACTCGGAGCGGAAGGACAGGGAAGGAGCATGTGCCCGGCGGCCCCCCAGGGCGGCGTGGCGGTCACCTGAGCCCACAGAGGAGCAGCTGGGCGAGGGGGCGAGGGGGGCCCCACAGCAGCCACAGGCCCAGATGCGCCCGTCCGGCCTGTGTCCCGACACACGCTGGGCGGGGCGGCTGCCGGCCGCAGGCTGGGCTCCCGTGGCCACTCCGACCGCATGGTCCCTGCCGGGGGCGCCTGAGCTGCCAATTTCATGGCCCGTGGCGGCGGCCGCGAGTTCCCACACCGAGCGCACAGGGCCCCTTTGTCTGCCCACCGTGCCGCCCGCCGAGCACGTCAATGGGACTTTTCTCTGCGGCTCTGCTCCCTGCCCAGCGGCCTCCCGATGCCCTTCTCCAGACCAGGGGGCTGAGCCCACCTGGGCGGGGGCCCATCTGCAAAGCCGCCACCTTCCGGGTGGCCCTGGGCACGGCCGGGTGCTGGCAGATGCACGAGAAACACAGGCGCAAGGGGAAGGAGCTCGGAGCCTTTCGCACGGGTCCCCGGAGCACGGCTGCCCCCGACCGGCCCCGCGCTGGGCAGCTGTGGGCGGCAGGCGGAGCGCCCCGCGCCGAGGGCCCTGTCCTCGGTTCGGCCTCCAGGGTGGCCCGTGCCCTGGTCGCTGGTCCGTGGTCCCTGGGGCGGGGCTGGGGCGCTGGGGGTGATCAGGAGCCCCACCCGGCCAGGCGCACACACCCCCTCACGGGGCAAGCGGGTCCAGGGTGGGACGGCCGCGGCAGCCCCGGGCCACACCCGGGGGCAGGCCACGCTCAGCGCCTGGGCTCTGGCGCCTCTCTCGGCTCAGCCGGCCCGCCACCTGCCCTCGGGGGAGCGCCGGAGGGGATCAGGCCTGAGTGGGCGGGCTAGACCGCCAGCCTCAGGAGGTCCAGAGCGAGGGGCTCTGGCGGCCCCCGCTCCCAGGAGGACCCCAGGGGAGACAGCCACGGTTCAGTCGGAATGTGCGGCCGGAGAAAGCCAGCCCTGGGGTGGCCTTGCTTAGTTTTTCTGGTGGTTCGGCTGTGACCCCTCCTGGAGCACCGGGCCAAGTGGGGGCATACCCACCTCGTGGGGCGTGGGGGTGGGGGGAGCCCGTCCGCAGACAAGGCCTAACTGGGTGGTCTCCCAGCTGAGGCCCAGGGCCACCTCCTGGGGAATTCCCAGCCGCTTCTGCAGGAATGCGAGTCCCTGCATGCGGCCGGCGGGTGGCCTTGCTGCCCAGCCTGCAGCTCGGGGAACCACTTCTCCGGGGTTCCCAGCGACCGCAGCCGGGCCGTAAACTGTAAAATACGAATGAGGAAATTTGGCGGGAGTGCAAGGGTGTACATTAAAAATGGTGTGCAGTTTGGAGGTGAGTCAGTTCGGAGTTCCCTTTCAGAGCAGTCCTGGGTGCCTGCCTTACCTGGGGCTGCTCACCTGGCCAGGCCTGCCTGTTCCCCATTCATGCTGACAGGGGAGCCCCGGAGAGGGAGGGAGGCAGGCCCTCCGGTCCGGCTGGCTGACCGCCCCGCTCTGCGGAGCCTCCCGCCACAGGGCCCCCAGCCCTGGCCTAGAGACCCGGCTTCCTCGTCGGGGCAGGGCTGAAAGCCTCGGGGTTGGGTTCCTGCCAGCCGGGCTGGGGAACAAACACAGGGTGATCCGGGCCGTTAGGGGAGCCGCCCTTGCGCGGGAAGGACCCGCGTGGCTGAGACCACACGCCCGAGCTGCTCACGGAGGAGTCACCCGCGTGGACCGTGTCCCGGGGACTGGGTCGGGCGAGTCTAATCGGCAGGCGCGCCCGCGGTTCGTGCTGGGGACGCGGAGGGTCCGTGGTCTGCCTTCCCAGCGCGGAGCGAGACCGGGATCTCTACCCGGACCTCCTGGTCTGAGATGCTTGTGAACCCCCACCCAGGACAGGCCGCCCTCGGGTCCACCTCGAGGTCGCCCTCGGCCCGGAGCTCGAGCCCGGCTCTGTCCGCGCAGGGAGCTTGGAATTCCCCGGATGGCCAGAGGAAAAGTGGGCGGGACGACGACGGAGGCTCGGGGGGCGGGGCGGGAGGGCGGGGGCCCCGGGCGATGGGGCGGCGGCGGCGCGCCGGAGCAAGGACCTCCCCACGGCCTCCTGGCTCCCTGTCCCGCGCGGCCCGCGACCAGCGCCCCCTGCCGCGAAGCGCGCCGCACGGACACGCCCCCAGGCGCGCCCCGCCCCGGCACCGCCCGCGCCCCGCCCCCACGCGGCACTGCCCAATCGGCGGGCTGCCGGCGAGCGCGTCACGAGCTCCCATTGTTATGCAAATATAAAGGCGGTAAAAGGCGCCCCGGCGCGGCGGGCGGGCGAGTGCAGCGGCGCGTGGGGAGGCGCGTGGGGTCCGCGTGGGGAGCTGCAGCCGAAGCGAGCAGGGACCCGAGAGCGCGGCGCTGCCGCCCC